CTAGTCTGCCGCTATAAATGGCGCCCAGCACAGCACCTTTGTATATTTTCTCGTATTTCCACTCTGAAACAAAAAAGAATTGTACTCCGTCTGTTTCTGTCCTTAACCAACACCGTTCCAGCGTCAGCTCAAATCCTTCGGTTGCCATCCAATTAGAAAAGAACCTCCTAACAGATCCATCTAGCTCCTCCTGAGTGTGGACTTCCACGATGATGGTGAGGAATGTATGGAGCTCTGAAGCTGGCCGAACCTTGCTGGCAGATTTTCACATTCATGTACAACTAATGAAAATACAAACAAGGAACTGTGAGGTTTGTTTTGCTTAGTGGGCTGTGTTGCTGCTCCGCCCTAACCGTACCACTCCAGAAATCTCAGAAGGGGGCGAAAAAAGTCCCGTGACTGGCATGATCCGGGTAGGTTGTCTGGATCGGTTTTACAATCAGGACAGAAAAATAAGCGAGTCAACCCTCCCCATTCCAGCAAAACAGTCGATGGAAATTAGAAGAAGAAAATTTCATTTCTATAGCGCCTCTCAAGATAAAAATCACGAGGCGTTTCACAAAAACAAAAAATGTAAAAATAAAAAAAAAAGAATTTTGAAAAGGGTTAAAAATATATTTAAAATGAGCAAAAAATAGACAATTGTGATTAAAATGTTAATAAAGAGAGAGAGTGAATAGGAAAGAGGGAAATCAGTGGATCCTGAGGAAGGTGGAATAGGTGGGGAGAGCAGAATAAAGAGAGAGAGGTGAAGAAGGTCATACAAAAGCCAGCTTGAACAAGTGAGTCTTCAGCTGCTTATTAAAGGAGACCACTGAGTCCACTGATCTCAGGCTCAGGGGGAGAGAGGTCCAGAGTCTGGGGGCCACAGCAGCAGATGATCTGTCAACTTTGACCTCTAGCCTGGTGCTGCACAACCAATAGGCTTTGGTCACTGGACCTCAGGGACCTGCTGGGGGTGTAGGGACTAAGAAGATCACCAATGTAAGATGGTGCTTGTCCATGTAAGGCCCTATAGACCAGAACCAGGATCTTGAAATGAACCCTGAAGTTGACTGGCAGCCAGTGAAGCTGGAGGAGAAGCGGGGTGATGTGGGTGTGTTTGGAGGACTTGGTCAGAAGCCGAGCACAGGCGTTCTGAACCACCTGTAGACGGTTCAGGGAGGTTCTGCTCAGACACGTGAAAAGAGAGTTACAGTAGTCTAAGCGTGAGGAGATGAAGGTGTGGAGAACTGTCTCAAGTTCAGAGCGGGACAGAATGGGACTCAGCTTAGCAACGTTCCTGAGATGGAAGAAGGAAGAGCCAACAAGAGAACTGACATGAGAATCCAGGGTGAGAGCTGGGTCAAAGGTCACACCAAGATTCCTGACAGAAGGTTTGGTGTGGGAAGCAAGCTGACCAAGAGAGTCTCTGACTTTGGGAACCAGCTTGTCTGGGGCGCAGATGAGGATCTCAGTCTTATCTTCATTCAGCTGAAGAAAGCTCCCACCATCCAGGTTTTGATAGAGTCTAAGCAGGTGTGTAACAGCTGCAGCTTAGACATCTCATGGGGCTTAAAGGAGATGTACAGTTGGATGTCATCTGCATAAAGATGGTAGGAGATTCCTTTGAAGGAGCTCAGGATGTGCTGAAGAGGAAGCAGATAGAGGAGGAAGAGCAGAGGCCCCAGCACAGAACCTTGTGGTACACCATGGGTAAGAGAGGTGGTGGAGGACCTAAACTTGGAGACGGCCACAGAAAAGCAGCGCTCGGAAAGATAAGAGGAGAACCACTCCAGAGCAGTTCCTGATAGGCCTACCCAGTCTCTCAGCCTCTCCAGTAGCAGGTGATGGTCAACAGTGTCAAAGGCTGCAGTCAGGTCCAGCAGGACCAGAACCAGAACAGTCCCCTGCATCACTGTGGGTCAGAAGGTCATTAGAGACCCTAAGAAGAGCTGTTTCAGTGGAATGAGCTCTACGAAAACCTGACTGGAAGCTATCATAGATGTTATGTTCATCAAGAGCAGCTGTGAGTTGTTTAGCCACAACCTTTTCCAAGATCTTGGAGATGAACGGAAGTTTAGAGATGGGTCTGAAGCTGCTATGGAGAGAGGGGTCGAGACTCGGTTTTTTAAGAAGTGGGTGGATTACAGCGTTCTTAAAGTAAGCAGGGACCTGACCAGAGACCAGAGAAGCATTAATTATAGAGAGCACGCTGGGACCGATGGACTGAAAAGCACTTTTAAACAAAGATGAGGGTAAGATGTGGAGGGGGCATGCAGAGGTCTTCATAGAGTTAACTAGTTTGGTTAACTCAGGCAAAGAAACAGGAGCAAAGCTATCTAGGATGATGGTCCTGGTTGGAGTCGGGAGAGGCGGCGATAAGGCTGAAGGAGAGATGCTAGATCTGATCTTATTGACTTTGTCCACAAAGAAAGACAGAAAGTTCTCACAGTCTGCAACAGAGTGGATGGAGGCTGTAGGAGAGGCAGGAGAGACGATGCTGCTGATGGTGTTAAACAGCACCTTGGGGTTCCCTCTGCTCTGGGACACCAGGTTGGAGAAATAGGAAACCCTGGCGTCTCTGACTGCAGAGTTAAAGGATGTCAGAAGATCCTTTAGGTGCAGCAGATGGATGTGGAGATGGGTTTTCTTCCACAAACGCTCAATTTTTCTGCATTGGCGCTTCAGGCTGCGAAGGCTGTCATTAAACCAGGGAGTAGGGTTCACTGCAGGACCTGATCTGGTTCTGACAGGACAGATGTTGTCCAGAATGGAGAGGCCGTGCTCGTTAAACTGAGAAGTTAAGGAATCTGGGTCGTTATCAGAAGAACAGGGTGGATCAAAAGCAGCAGAAAAATTGCTAGCTGTGCTCTAATTAAGAAAATGAGAACTAACCATACGGCGAGCAGGAGGTGGGGACGCAGAAACGGACAAGTTACAGAAAATGCAATGGTGATCTGAAATGTAAACGTCCTCAGGACAAATACTGTCAGCATTTAGACTCAGGGTAAAAACAAGGTCTAGAGTGTGCCCCCTGGTGTGTGTGGGGCCAGAAACATGCTGGGTAAAGCCGAAGGAGTCCATAAGGCTGGAGAAATTCATGGCAAAGTGATCAGAGGGATCATCAACGTGGATGTTAAAGTCACCAACAATCACCAGTCTGGACAGCTTCACAGTGGAGGATAGAAAGTCACTAAACTCCTGAAGGAAAGAACCGTTTGGACCAGGTGGACGATAGACCACAGCACAGTAGAACGGGTCCTTACGCCCGACTTTAATCAGCTGCAGTTCAAAGGAAGCAAAGTGACCAGAGGTTGTAGAGCTACATGGAAGATGGTCTCTGAAAACAACAGCTAGGCCTCCACCACGACCAGAACCCCGGGGCTGGCTAAGAAAAAAATAACCACTCGGGCAGAGTTCAATCAGAGCAGAATAATCAGATGTTTGCTGCCAAACTTCAGTCAGAAACAGAAAATCCAGGTTTTTAGAGAGAATTAGATCATTGGGCAGGAAGGACTTATTGTTAACAGAGCGGGTATTTAATAGAGCCATGCTGAGTGAGGTGGAGGAATCAGAAACTACAGAAACAGCTGGAGTTAGTGGACGTACATTAGCAGGGTTACATCCACGGTGTTTATAAAAACCACTTATGGAGGGAACAGGAGGAGAAACCACTGAGGAATGAGGATAAACCAACCTCAAAAACTTGGACGAAGAAACCGCGCCGCAACGCGGCCTGGAGGGATGCGGAAGTGGCGCTCAGGTCACCAAAGGAACAGAAGCTAGAAGATCACGCCGATGTTTACTAGATGAACCACGCTTTAAGAGAAGTTTTATTCTCACCTGGATTCCTGCTCGTTTACCTCTTTTCCTCCGACGTTTTCCCGGGACTGGATAAACATTGCTGGAGGCGCCCTGGTTGGCATCGTCATTTGGCTCCGGGCTAGTGCGCCACTCAGATAAACAAACAGGGAGGTACGTCCTCGGTGCATCTTGGGCGATCATGAACAAACGGAAGGACAAAAGTCTGGCGATCATAGGAGATGGTAGCAGGGACACTACTGAAGAAGATCGCAGACAGGAGCAAGGTGGAAAAGAGGAGGTTAGTGGAGAAAATTTTGAAAAAGCGGCTGGTGAATGCGGCTAAGCCAAGCACAGGCGCCATCTTGTTACCGACCGGAAGCCAAAAAATAATAAAAATGAGGCTTTAGTTTTAGCTTTTGCAGGCATTTCCCAAAAAATCTGAAAATTTCCAGCTGAGACAGGAAAATGCATGAATGCAGCCAAAACAGGTTTGGGAGTGTTTTTCAATTTACCAATTCACATGGTACAAAGCTCCAACAAGTGGATTTTCCATGATATGGCCCCTTTAAGACAAAATACAGGTATGTTCCTCTGAGTCCAAATGTTAAGAACAAAAGATTAGGATTTAATATTGATTTATATTTCATCATGTTTGTGTTCTCATTTGTGTTATCTTCGTATGTATATTTTGTAAATAGTTATGGATTGTCTGTTGTTAACTAATATAATGTGGTTTATTCTACCAATAAGATCGCTGTCAGTGACGCATAAAGATGGCGTGACAGAATAAACAAGGTGCTCCCTGATTCAGAAGCTAAGCAGTGATGCGGCTTTGTTTTATTTTCCTCCGTCGACACGATTATTGACTCTAACACCAAATAGACTTATGGCTAACAAATATCTTACACTGTCCTTTGTGTCGACATGGCAACAGCAGAGCATCCTGGAGTCAGATTCATTCATCATCTCCACAAAAGGGCATGTTACAGGCATGAGTAAACAGAAGGTGTTAGTCAGGCCAACAAACTATTGAATAACCCATAAACACCTAAAATCACACTGGTAATAAAGAGCTCACTGAAGAAACCTGTATAGTACTAAGGAGTTCTTGAACATCTCATTTGCCTTTGGGATGGATAAAGTACTTCTGAATTAAACTGAGTCTATAGTATTAGACATTCCAGGGGATTAAACTTACTTCATCTTTCTTCCAGAACTGAGCTGCACCTAAACCAGTTGGCTGAAAACAGCACGTTTGGAATCCATCCACACACCAAGGTAACCCCACTGGTCACCAGAAACCTGTCTTGTTGGTTTTGTTTTGCCATACCTGAAGTGCAGGTTGTAGCTGTGGCACTGCTGCTTCTCAAAGTAGGGGTTTTGACTCCCCGGTGGGCTCTTCAGACGATCTCTGAATGAGATGAATGAATAACTGTTGCTAGTAGATTTTTAAACATTTGTACATCTCTGACGGGTATTTATTGGATTTGAAGCTGAAATGTTTGAGAACCACTTGACCTAAGTTGCCTTTTATGCCTGATTCAACATGGTTTGAAGCCTGAAGACAAGCAGCGGGCCTCCCAGCAGTTCACCAAGCTGCAGGCAGCCATGAAGGTGCTGGGCATTTCTGCAGAGGAACAGAAAGCTCTCTGGCTTATTCTAGGTGCCATTTACCACTTAGGAGCTGCAGGAGCCACTAAAGGTGAGCTCTCACTCTGGCTGAATGGAAATCATTCTAACTCATTACTAATACCAGTCGTGTCATGACACCATCATTCAGTAGTTACCACGTCTTTAACAGTTTGCTTTGACAAAACTAAGAGCTAAATTTGACTTTGATTTGTCGTTAAACCCTGAACCATTCGGAGGTCAAAGGAACTGTACGGTTTTTGGTGAAGTCCCGGGATCGTGCATCTGTGTCATTTCCATTCCACTGGTGTGAAACAGCAGTCTGATATTCTGAACGTGTCAGCTAACTCTGCGTTGTTCCCTGCTGATGCTCCTCTTGTCTTTGAGCAAGCGATGCATCAGAACGTGTGTGATCTCTAACCTCTGTTCTTTACTTGCATGTTTGCATGCTGCGGCCTCTCAAACGCAGACTCGGACGAAGGTAATGGAAACAACACACGTTGGAGAAAACTTGATTTCACAGCTTTCATGTAACCTTTTCTGTATCTTTGCTTCTAGACTTTAAGTCTTTATCATTTTTGTTGTTTTGCTTCTCCTCTCCACTCCGTCTCTCATGTTTTTGTGCTCACTCTGTGACGGCCCCCCTTTTTGTTGTGTAAGATGAAAATCACAGGGATTGCAGGGACTTTCCCTGGCCGTCACCCTCGTCTAACTCCTTACTCAGCGCTTGTCTTTCCGCTCCAAAGTTAATGAAAGTAATGCTCCTGCTTCATTTCCACCTTGGTGTTCTGACTCTGAGCCTCAGAACGTGTCTGAGCTTCTGCCTGGTTTTAGTTTCTGTTGTTTTTCACATGAATTTAGGTTTTCCAGCAGAAAACTATTTGTTTCCTGCCCTTTTCTTTGTTTTGACTTTAAAAACATCCGAACTAGACCTTCCACTTCAGTTGAGACCCAAAAGAACCGCTGAATGTAGAATGAATGCTGTTCCTCCTTAAGCGTGCACCTTGTCGTTGCTGTTGGTTCTCTGTAGGAACCGACGCTTAAACAGCCTAATATGCTGCGGGATCACCCTGTGGTGCTGGAGTCACTCCTGTGTCATGCATGTGTTCACCACTGTTTTGGACACGCCCACTCAAATATACCCTTATCAGCCAGTCACACGGCAGCAGCTCAGTGCAGTTAGACGTCTAGACGTGGTGAAGGTGATCTGCAAAAGTTCAAACTGAGAATCGGATCTTTGGGGTTTGAACGTTGCAGGGTCACTGGTCTGATAAGCTGGGAGGTTTACTCACAACCATCTCTAGAGTCTACAGAGACTGGTCAGACTGGTTCTATGACAGAAAGATAACATCAGCTCAGATCAGCACTGGTTCCTACCGAGGTCTGCAGAACCACAGCAGCAGCAGAAGACCACACCAGGTGTCTCTCCTGTCAGCTAAGATCAACAAACTGAGGCTATAAATCACCCAGGATTGCCAGAACTGGACCAGAGGACACTGGAAAATCGTTCCTGGTCTGATGAGTCTGGATTTCAACCACATCCCAACCCAGAGCTCAGATCATCTCTAACTGGTTTCTAGAACATGACCCTGAGTTCCAACGGCCTCCACAGTCACCAGATCCCAGTCCAGTCCAGAACCTTTGGGAGGTGGTGGAACGGGAGGTTCTCACCACGGATGGATCTGTCAGGATGGACCAGAATCTCTCCAGCCCCCCGTGTGCCAATGGAATGAACCACGGAAGTCTAAAGTGATTGAGATCATTTATTTCTTTACTCTCGTCCTGTGGAGGCAGTTTACCAACAGCAAAAGAAAAAACATTCATCTCCTTTTCGAGCTGAGTCGTGATCGGCTGTGAGCCTAAGTCTGGGCCTCGTCGGCTTTGTGCTGGCGTAGCGCTATGGTCGTATGGCTAGCTACGTTCTGACTCCGTAAGGGTGAGTTGGGAAAGATCGGAGCTCTGGCATGGTGGGATTATGGAATTATGTGGGAGGATCTTTACATAAGTGTTCTGCTGACTTTAATGGAGTCTGATGAGAGGGCAGGAGAGCGGCTCAGGATTGTGGAACATGCCGCAGGAGAAATGGAGATTTTCAAATGAAATCTTATGATTGTGTGCTGTTCTAACTGGTCGTGTAGGTCACAGGCAGCATAGCAGGATGTAGGCGGAGTATGTAGGCTGATGTAGGTGGATTCAGGGTACCGTATGCTGAAGACCACATCCATGAAGCAAGACATGAGCTAATGTTTGGTTTATGTTTATTCAGTGTTTGTGTGTCAAAGATTAAAAGCTGCCGCTGACATTCAGACCCTTCAGAGTTAGATCTTCTATTCTTCATTCCATTTTTCCTTTACTCCGTATTTCTATTCCTCTTTCTTTCCTCTGGCTAGTGCTTTAATTTTTGAACACGTTCTCTGGTCTTCCCAGCGGGACGTCGGCAGTTTGCCCGTCATGAATGGGCCCAGAAGGCAGCCTACCTGCTGGGCTGCAGCCTGGAGGAACTGTCCTCATCAATCTTTAAGCATCAGGTCAAAGGGCTGCAGCCCTCCACCTCCTTCAGAGGGGGGCCTGAGGATGCTGGCCACAGTGACAACTCGGGTAAGAGCCCACACGATTCCTTTATCCTTGTTAGCTGCTGCAGAAGCGTAGGTCAGCTGCACTCACCTGGCACCTGCTGTTCTGCTGCTGTGTGTGGCTCTGAGTGCTGGTCTGGTGATCTTGTCTGTACTCAGGCTCTAAGTTCACTGCTCTGGACTGTTTGGAGGCCATGGCGTCAGGACTGTACTCGGAGCTTTTCTCTGTGGTCATCTCCCTCATTAACAGGTAATGTGTCCCACACACCCAGCACCACAGAACCAGAACCAGACCCAGCCTGCTGGCCTCTCAGGTGTTGCTGTTGTTTACATGTAAATCAGCAGTAAAATACAGCAGCTTTACAAACATTTACAGGTCATTTCAAATAAAAAAATCTGCAGATTTTTGAAAAAGTTAAATGAGTCGGACGTGAGGACTTCGTCGTCTCGGTTCTCCTTTTGCCACCAGATTATTTTGACAGATAATTTGTTCTCCAGGGCTCTGAAGTCCAGTCAGCACTCCCTGTGCTCGCTGCTGATTGTGGACACGCCGGGTTTCCAGAACCCGCGCTTGGCCCAGCAGCAGCGTGGAGCTACTTTTGAGGAGCTGTGTCACAACTACACCCAGGAGCGGCTGCAGACGCTGTTCCACGAACGCACCTTCGTCCAGGAGCTGGAGCGATACAAGGAGGTGCAGCTGGGCTGACACACGCCCTCAGATGATTTAGGAACACCGTTATCAGATCTATGAAGACAGACTGTAGAGACAGAGATTATCTGGTGCTTTTCGTAGAGTTGTCTCAGCTGCGATTAGCTGAAGTAGAACAAATGAACGCAGCTCCTTAGAAACCGTTCTTAACCTTTCTGCAACCCTTCCACCTCCTTTTGCTTCAGCAGCTGAAACATTATCATCAGAGCCCGTTGATGATCAGTGTCAGTGTTGATTTAGGTCCATTATTAATGATTGTATGTTTGCATGAACAGTCTGCTGCTCGGACACAGAAATCCAGGTTTTCCTTTTCTTTGTTCCTTTAACTGAAGGTAAAATCAGTCAAACTAAAAGCGTTTCTCTGCTGAAGAGTTTCAGAAACTCACAACCAGCTCTGAGACCAGGGATGTCTGCAGTCATTAGAAAGCAGAGTGGTGACGGTTTCTTGATGCTCTTGTCTTCTGCTAGTAAATGTCCTGTAGCTGACTAACCACGCCTTTATCCCTCCTGCGTGTAGGAAAACATAGATCTTGTTTTAGATGACATAGAGTCCACTACCTCCTTGTCTGTAGCAGCTATTGATCAAGCCTCAGCCCAAGCTCTGGTAAGTAAACGTCACGACTCTGCCGCTCTTAAATGAAACCCGTTGTGATGTCGACATGTTTTTGTGTGAATATTCATTCATGGCCTCCAGTTTTACTTATTTTTAGGGGCATGAACCGTAAGTGGTGTGGATCATCCCTGCTGGTGTGAGCCAGTCTGCAGCTTTAGAGCTGTAAGGGTCAGGTCCTGTTTATGCTCGGCTTTTACGGTTTTACTAACGTTTTTTCACTTTTCAACAAAATCATTTGACCTACAATCAAGGTGTAAAGCTGTGATGCAAGTTTAACAGAGTTTAGCTCTTGGGATGTTTTTGTGTGTTACTGATGTATTCTGGCAGCAGTGCCAGGAGTTTAACAGGCTTCTGTTCAAATTTACGTTACTTACATTCTGGTCCAGATCCTGACTGATGGAGCTCGTTCTTCATCATCAATGTTTGGAATTTGTCCGATTGTTTGGGTTTGTCCACCTGGCTCTTAAGGACTGACCAGAAGTTCTCCATGGGGTTAAAGTCTGGAGCTGGACCCATCATGTTGATATTTTCTTCCTGATCCACCTGATCTGACTTCATCTTTCTGCCCTGGGCTCCATCATGCCAAAAAAAACATTGTTCATCACCAAACCGTTGAACTGATGATTAGGAGTTCCTCTGGGAGGGTGTCCAGGCACTATTCTTATTTCATGGCTGGTTTTGCACCTGCCATTTTAACACCAGTTTAATATTGATGGGTGAGAATTGCTTTTGTTATTTAGCTGCTGAGCACCAGCTAGTAGTAGTTGTTATGATTTAGCAGGACGCTGCATATTGACAGCAGTACACTTGTAACATGCCAGAATTTGCCAAAGGCTAGTTTTCATCTGCAATCCTGTTGGTCCCCTAGTGCCCCCCCCCCCTTCCCAAAGGAAGCTCCAGAAGCCTTGAGCTTAAATAATAAAAGAAGATTTTATTTACCTTCTGTTTGTGTTGATCACAGGTTCGTAGTTTGGCCCGGACAGAGGAGGCCCGGGGCCTTCTGTGGCTGATGGAGGAGGAGGCTGTTCAGCCAGGGGGTTCAGAGGAGACCATGCTGGAGAGACTCTTCAGCTACTACAGCTCCGGCAAAGCAGAAAACAAAGGTGCGCTTTAATCCACGTCCTCGTTTTAAAACCACCCAACAGCCCAGGTAACACCACTGATGCATCATGGGAGAGAAATGCTTGCTTGTTTTTACAGGAGCCGGCCTGCTGCTGCGGGGAGACAAACCACATCTTTTCCTGCTGGGACACAGCCATGGAGCTGATTGGGTGGAGTACAATGTTCAGGGTTGGCTGAGCCATGCTAAGAACAATCCTGCAACCCAGAATGCTGCCACCCTGCTGCAGGACTCTCAGAAGTATGGGCTCTCTCATCACCCCTCTCATGTCCCTGTGCAGAAATATATATTTAGTAATTTAGTTCCTTATTGTTGCAAATCAAAATATGAACCATTTCTTCCAAACCAACCCACCAACTAGAGTCCTAAGTAACTGGTCTGAAGGCGAGTCTTAAAAGTAGACATGGTGTCCGCCTCACTGATTGAGACTGGACACAGGTGCCGTCAGAGAGGAGCCTGAGTAGCTCTGTCTCATGTTCTACTTTTTGAAACTCCACGAACCAAACCTGCAGTCTCAGAACCAAGTTGGCAAACATCTGGCACAAGAAGATCTCTAATATAAAATGGATAACACTGTGCAAATGAGATCCTAAAACCGGAACGGTACGACTGTGTTGCAGTTACAATCCCTGTTGTGGTCATAAACTGATAAAGGTCAGGGATGCACATTGATGAATAGACGGCCATGATTGTTGCCACCACAGGAAGAACATCAGTGGGCTGTTCTTGGGTCGAGCCAGTGGAGCGACAGTGTTGTCAGGTTCTATTGCTGGTTTAGAGGGAAGCTCCCAGCTCGCACTGCGGCGAGCCACAAGCATGAGGAAGACCTTCACCACAGGCGTAGCTGCAGTCAAGAAGAAGAGCCTTTGTATCCAGATCAAACTGCAAGTGGTGAGTGAAGGAACTACATTTTCAGTCTGAAAAGAAGAAGTTTGTACTTTCTTGTCAACAATCCTGAACTGACGTGTTTTACAGCAAACATTTTATTTCATTAGTTTTTCTTATTCTGAATAAAAAATGTATTATTTTGTTTGTGACACACGCCCGGTCAGACCTTCTCAGCCTCGAGCCTAATTTATACTTCTCCATCAGTCTTACAAAGCAGTTCCCCGCCAGGACAACAGAGGGCGTAGCACTGTTCTGAGGCATCCTGCCACCATTACAGTCACGTATTCAGTCCACAATAGTGTTTTTACTATTGTGTTTACATTGTTTCAATGCATTTCAGACACTTTTGAACACAAACAAATCTGTCCCCCGTCCACCTCTTCATGCGATCGGCACCTCTGAACTCACGTTTCTCGTCTTTTCCGACCACGAGTAAAACACTTGCTGCATGTGTTTGTACTCCTTCACTCACGGGTCAATAAACGTTCATGTTTTCAGACTTTTCCCGCAAGGCGATCTTCCATCTGTTCCATGTCTTAATATCTTTTTACTTTTTGAGGGGACAATTGCGGTGCTATTGACAAATTTACAGGAAGCGATCCTGACCAATCACAGGCTTTTGGCCTCCGTCACTTTCGACAGATAGTTAAAAACTGGGGCATGTCTCTGTCGTCCTCTACGAGCCCATTAGAGAGCTCTTGCGCCGGCGTGTCTCGGTACTGACGCAGACAGAGAAGTTTAAATAAGGCTTTACTGCACAGAACCATCACATCGTACAGCGAGGTGTGTGTTGACTGGCCCTTTGTGTTTTTAGGATGCCTTGATTGACATGGTGCGTAGGTCCAAAGTTCATTTCGTCCACTTCCTACTGCCTAAAGCAGAGGCTCCTGGTCTCCGCGTAACGCATGGCGAGAGTCCTGATTCAGGTCTCATGACTTTGGACGTGTGCCTTTTGAGGGCACAGCTTCGAGGATCAAAGCTGCTAGACGCTCTACGCATCTACAGACAAGGTACCCGCTGTGCATCGTGGGCAGACATGTCCACTTTGGTCTGTTATGTCTAAATGTTGAAGAAGTGTTAGTGTTTGTTTGAGTGCATGGTAGCAACCCTCAGCCCTGAATCTTCAGGAACTCTCATTTCATTCTTATTTTGTAGTTTATTTAAGACGTCTATCGCTTTCATCAAAGCTGAAGAGAACTTTTAGTCTGTTATGTTTCTACTTTCAGTAGAAAATCCAAGTTGGCCATGAACTTGGCTCCATCTTGAATTTGTTCCGTCTGTGTTGTGTTCAGGGTACCCAGACCACATGGTGTTCTCGGAGTTCCGCAGGCGCTTCGATGTCCTGGCTCCACATCTGGCCAAAAAGCACGGCCGCAACTACGTAGTCACAGATGAGAAAAGGGTGAGTCTTGGGTTTTGGTGTAAATGTTTAACCAGTGACTCCATTATCTAGTTGTTTCTTTAAAATCATCCTAATACAGATTATAGCTTCATACTAAAGCTTGTAAACAAAGAGCTTTTAAAATAACGAGTGGTTATGACTTCAAATACCTCTCTGGACATTTGCTATAAAACAGAAACAGCTTTGCTTAAAGTTTCCAGTGACACAGAGGCGGAGCTGGCCTAAATGGCGCCCTGTGCGAGATCCCCCTGTGATCCCCCCCCACACACACACACACACACAAGAAAAAACATTACACCTACAACTTTGTTTCAAATTGCGTGGAGTGTATTATATATAACAACGTTTGCTAACTGAATACAACACCCAGCTCCTGGCCACCTTCTCACCACTTGTCAAAGTTCTACTGAAATAGTGATGATGACAACATCTGCCATCGCCTTCATTCCTGGGAAATATGAAAGTAGTTGGCACCTTGGTAGGTCCTCTTTGAACTAGCTCTGTGCGTATGCTGTCGGTAATTGGTGATGACCACTTGGCTGGGTCTGAAGAAAGCTCATTTCCCGATTCCAAAAAGAAAGAATGGTCCTACCAGCTCACCACTTCAATATGAAGAAGATCAGTTCAACATTGGGAAAAAAACCTGACCTGTAGGCCAGAGAAACGTTCATTAGCACATCAAGTTCAATTCAGTTTACCGGTAAACATATCACGAATCTACAACAGGTCAATTATTAATCATCTTGGCTACGCAGCTCAATCTATACATTCCAGTAGCGTTTGCTACAAACAAATATAAAAACAACAATAAAGGAAAACAACTGTCTGACAGACAGCATAGCCGAATTCAAGGCAACACATAACAATAATCATTCGATTGCTCTTGGTTTCAAGTTAAGCCCATTAAAGTGCTTAAGTAAATAAAAGTGTTTCAAAAACAGCGTTTTTGATCCGGAGTTCTGCTCGCGGTGGGAACTCCGCCGAACAAGGTCATTTTTTATCGCGAAAACGATCGACTGGTCACTGACAAGTAAAAGGGTGTTATTGGTAGATGTTAAGAACACTTACCGCTGAGGTAAAATGAGAGTATAAATGAACTGAGGGGAGAAAACCGCTTTGTTTTCCAACACCGTTCTAAAGCAACAAGCTTACAGCCACAGCAGGAGTCGAGCCCAGAAGTATTCCCCCACAGCCAGCTTTCATGGTTGCCGCGACGTGGAAGGAGCCAATCAGGAGAGGGACCTCACATCAGCTGACGTGGGTCATGTGACAGGGAGTAGTTGATATGGGTTACACTTTGTTGTGCTTTTATTACAGAAATATTATTATTATCATCACTATTATTATTAAGAACATGCGATTTCTATGTTTTGTTTATGTATTGGTTGATGCTAAAAAAAAAAATTTTTAGAAAAAAAAAAGGAAATTAAATGCCGCCCCCTGCAGACTGCCGCCCTGTTCGACTGCACATGTTGCACATATCAAGCTCCGCCCCTGCAGTGACATCATGATGGCTGCAGACAACGGGGAGTTCACAGTGTTAGTACTGTTAGTTCTTTCTGCAGCTTGTGACTCTGTTGATCACAACACCTTCATTAACAGACTTGGTGACTCGGTGGGGATGTCTGGAACTGTTCTAGACTGGTTTAGATCGTACCTTTCTAACAGAAGTTACCGTGTCTGTAGAAACCAGATCATGTCAGATTCTACTGATCGGTTTTGTGGGGTACCCCAAGGCTCTGTTTTGGGTCCACTGTTGTTTCTGCTGTACATACACTCTCTTGGACAGATACTTGATTATTTTCATAATGTCTCTTATCACCTATATGCAGATGATATTCAGCTGTACTGCTCCTTTAAAGAGCAAGTCACCCCCAAATCAACCTTTTTTTGCTGATAACTCCATAAATGTGTGTCTAATCGTGCTGCAGACATGTGTCGTCAATAATTTGGTACTTCAGTGCATCTTAGTTAAAATTTAAATATTCTGCCTAAAACTGGCAGTGTTGCGCCGTCGTCAGGTAAAAACTCTGCACTGCATTTGTATTTAAATCTGCCATCGCTATTGGCTAAGAGGTATGCTATGATGTAAACTGGTCCTTATGATGTCACAATGTCGTTGTGAGCCTGTGTGTGTGTGTATTGGTTTGCGGCTCCGCCCTCTCGGTCTGCAAGGCAACAGCATTTGTTGCATTTTTCAAACATGAAGAGGGAGTTGAGTAAGAATCTGGCAGGGGTTGACTTGCTCTTTAAGAATTCTGAGTTCTACAAACTGTCTGAATTACTACAGTGTCTATCAGCGATCACCAGCTGGCTAGAAGATGACTTCCTCCAATTAAACTCTGAAAAGACTGAATGTCTGATCATTGCCCCTGAGAGCATGGTTCCCCTGGCTAGTCTAAAACTTGGTCATTTATCTTCTGCCGTCAAGACAGAAGGTCACTCAAAAACGCTGGTCCGAAACTGTTTTTATCATTTAAGAAATATCTCCAAACTGCGAACGTTGGTGTCAAAACATGAACCTGAAATGGTTCTCCATGCCTTTATAATAATAATAATACATTTTATTTCAAAGCGCCTTTCAGGACATCCAAGGTCACTTTACACAAAACACGTAATAAAATACAATAAAACAATAATAAAACCCAAAGAAGAAAAAACAGAGAGAAACATTTAAATAAAATCAGAGGTTGTAGGCAGATTTAAACATGTGTGTTTTGAGTTTTGATTAGAAAAGGGTAAAACTGTCGACGTTCCTGATGTCTGGGGGAAGTGAGTTCCAGAGTCGAGGAGCAGAGCGGCTGAAAGCTCTGCTCCCCATGGTAGCAAGACGGGCAGAAGGAACCGCAAGATGGATGGAAGAAGAAGATCTGAGAGAACGGGACGGGGTGTGAATACTTATAAGGTCTGAGATATATGGAGGAGAGAGGTTGTGGATTGCTTTGAAGGTATGGAGGAGAATTTTGAAGATGGACCTGAATTTAACTGGGAGCCAGAGAAGCTGCTGGAGAACCGGGGTGATGTGGTGAAAGGAAGGGGTTCTGGTGATAATACGGGCTGCTGAATTCTGGACCAGTTGCAGTTTATGAAGGAGTTTGTTGGGGAGACCATAAAGAAGTGAACTGCAATAGTCGATACGGGAGGTGACGAGGCTGTGGACGAGAATGGCGGCAGTGTGAGGGGTCAGTGAGGGACGGAGACGGTTTATGGAACGTAGATGGAAGTATGCTGACCGAATTAAGTTATTAATGTGAGCCTGAAAAGAAAGTGAGCTGTCGAGAATGACACCCAGACTCTTGACGTGAGGTGAGGGGGAGACTGTGGCGCTGTCAATAGTTAAAGAAAAGCTGTCAGATGTTGAGAGGGTGGAGTTAGTGCCAACAAGAAGAAGTTCAGTTTTATTGCCGTTGAGTTTGAGGAAATTAGAGGTGAACCATGATTTGATTTCAGAGAGGCAGAGTGTAAGGGAGGATGGTGGGAGAGTTGAGTTGGGCTTACTGGAAATGTAGAGCTGGGTGTCATCTGCAAAGCAGTGAAACTGGATATTGAATTTGCGGAAGATTTTGCCGATAGGGAGGAGATATACTATGAAGAGGAGGGGCCCCAGGACAGAGCCCTGGGGCACACCTGACTTGACTGGGGAGGGTTCTGAGGTAACGGATTTTAACTGGATGAACTGAGTGCGGCCAGTAAGGTAAGATTACTGTAACACACTCTTCACATGTTTTAACAAAAAAAACCTTGACCGCCTTCAGTTGGTCCAGAACTCTGCAGCGAGGCTCCTAACTGGAGCAAACAGAAGAGCACACATCACTCCTATTCTGATGTCTCTGCACTGGTTACCCGTTAACTTTAGAGTTCATTTTAGAGTCCTGACTAGAACCTTCAGGGCTCTACATGGTCAAGCTCCTCCCTACATTACTGACCTGTTAAAGCCTTATGCTCCAACCCGAGCCCTCAGGTCCACACACCAGAACCTTCTAGAAGTTCCAAAGACCAGATATAAAAGTTGAGGTGGTCGCTCCTTCCAGACTGTTGCACCCCGATTCTGTAACGATCTTCCTTTATCCTTACACAGCGTTGACAGTCTGGACACTTTTAAAAAAACAGCTAAAGACCCTGTTTAGATATTTTTCTACGTTTTGGCCTGTCGTCCACACGAAAATGGAGTTTTTTCACACGAAAACGGATCTTTTTAAAAACTCCGGCCAAAGTGAAGATCTGCGTTTTCTCCGTTTTGGGTGTCTGCGTGTGGACAGACAAAACCGGAGTTTTAAGGTCCGCAACATCACTTTCCGCAACAAAAAATGCTGACATCACGTGTGCGACCTGTGTTTACACTAGCCGACAGCATGGATGCCTTCAGAGCTGCGCTCTGTCACTACCCGATCCATCAATTGTCCAAGCGCTTTCTGCTTGTTTGTTTTTGCAAGCGGAATTACTGCTCCTTGCGGAAGACCACAGACGAAGGACGAGGTTAAGAACGGAGGAAGTACTGCCGCCTACAGGTCTGGCATGTCCTTAACAACGTATTTATCGGGGTACGTGTGGACAGTTTTTTTTTAAAACGAGGTGGTGTGGATACAAGTTTTTGGAGGGGCGGATATTCGTTTTAAAAAAAAAACCCGGCTACGTGTGGACTAGGCCTCAGATTCTGTCTCATTGAAACCCATGTTAAAGGAACAGATCTTCTCCTCCGGTCGGCTTCAGACAGCTAAAAGTTTCTCGTCATAGCTTCTAGAAAATTCATGGTAGGCACATAAAAATACACACCGATGACCATCAAAGCCTTCTGCCGCTCACGCTTTTTGAATTTTTCAAATCGGTGCAGTACTTTTCGAATGGTGATGAGAACTTTGACAGGTCCAATTTCACTTCTGAAGGACAGATTTAAAGGCTTCTCTCATTAACAGGAGTACAGCTGCAGGCCTCCAACAGCCAGGGGAAAAGGCGGGAAAACAGTGATGCTCTCTGATTGGTTGAGAGTTTTCAACCATTTT